GTGATCAACAAAAAATACACGATTAAGAAAAATACAGCGTTTTGTCAAATTTTGAAATAAATTTTATCCGCTAAAACGACTTAAACTGCCTAAAAAGTTTATTTCAGCTGATAAATTGGATATTATGAAAAATGTAAGAGATGATAAACTATACCGATGATGCAAAAATATGCGGGATCTTAGAGTCAAAAATTAGGATGCAACACTCACCTCCACCATCAGTTCTAAGAATCTTCAACTTCTGACCACTCTGATTCTCAGCCTTCATTCTGAATTTCTTGAATTCATCAAACACCTCGTGTTTGAACTTAATAAGAGATACCCATGTCATTCTTGTGAATTCATCAACAAATAACACAAAGTATTTATTCCCTCCAATTGATGCTACTGGAAATGGACCACACACATCAGAATGTACAACTCCCAAGGCATGTTTTGCTCTTGGAGCAACTTCTGACGCAAATGGCAAACATGGTTGTTTTCCTTCCATGCAAACTTTGCATGACTTTTCAGGCTTCTTAATTGCAGGAATTCCATGTACCAGCTTCTTTGAATTCAGATGTTTTAGGCTTCTGAAATTCAAATGACCAAATCTTCTGTGCCACAACTCACTCTCCTTCTCAGCACATGTTGCACTAAGACATTCTGAGTCTGCAGTTCTGACATTCACCTTGAATGTTCTATTCCTTCTCTGTTCTGACTCCATAATCAACTTCTGATTGCAGTCATACAACTTCAGAAGATTATCCTTCATGGTAACTGAAAAACCTTTCTCAATTAATTGTCCCACACTCATCAGATTGCTTCTGATGCCAGGTACATACCACACGTTCTGAATCAATGCTGTTTTCCCATTGTTCAGAGTCACTCTGACATTTCTCATACCTTCTACATTAAGATATTTGTCATCAGCACATCTGATCTTTGTCCTCTTTTCAGAGTCAAAGTCAACCAGCCATTTCTTGTTTCCAGTAAGATGATTTGAACAGCCAGTGTCCATATACCACCAGTCTGTCAGATCCATATCATCAGATTCAGAGGCCATGAATAGCACAGATTCGTCATCAGAACTTCTGGCTATATTTGCTTCTTCTGATTTTCTCTCCTTGTTTGACCAACAATCTCTAGCAAAGTGACCAAACTTCTTACAACAGTAACATTGGATCTTCTTCTTGTCATACTTCTCTTTTCCCTTCTGAGCATTCTTTTGTCTTTCAGAGGTTGAGCTTTCTGACTTCTGACCACCATCAGATCTTCTCTTGGCTTCTGACTGCTTCTGGTACCTCCTATCAGAAGTTGCTTTCAGAGCATGCTGCTCTACTTCCCTTTCAGAAGTTCTCTCAGTCAAACGCAGCTCTTGCGCTTCTAAACTGCTCTGCAGCTCTTCAATTCTCATGGTAATCAGATCTTTGGAATGTTCTATTGCTACCACAATGTAATCAAATTGAGAGGTAAGGGATCTCAATACCTTCTCCATGATTGTTTCTTCAGAAAGAGTTTCTCCACACGCCTTCATCTCATTAGTGATCAGAATCACTCTGGAGATGTATTCAGAAACTTTCTCATTATTCTTCATGTTGAGATTCTCATATTGCTTTCTCAAGGACTGAAGCTTCACCTTCTTCACTGATGCATCACCACCATAACATCTAACCAGTGTGTCCCACGCAGCCTTTGCTGTCGTTGAATCTGCAATCTTCTCAAACACATTTACATCAACACATTGATGAATAAAGAATAATGCTTTCTGATCCTTCTTCCTTACTTCCTTCTGCGCGTTTTTCTGTTCATCTGTTGCATCTGCTGCTACCGGAATATAACCATCAGTGACAAGATCTAAAACATCTTGAGCACCAAACAGTACACGCATTTGGATCATCCAACGATTCCAGTTTTTACCGTCAAATACTGGAAGCTTGGTGTTCATGTTGCCGTTTCCGTTCATCTTCACCTTGCACAATACACTCAGATTTCTCACACAGTGTTTCCCAACCCACAGAATTAAAATTCTGATCAGATTTTGTTCAAGATTCAACACGAATCTAAGAATCAAAATCAAACACACAAGACCTCACGTTCACTCGTGTTTCCCGTGTTTCCCAATGAATCTGAACCGGAGCTCTAGATACCAATTGTTGGTGCAAAGGTAGAATAAATGATGAAAAGGAGAAATATTCTATTAAGAATGACGACTACAAAAACATGATTAAAGTTACAATGATTGTCACCCTATTTATAAACTAAAACTAGGGTTACTAGAATAAGATAAAATACTAAAATACCCTCTAACAAACTTAGGGGCTAAGGAAAATAGTACAACTAAATAAATATGAATTACTATTAATATTCTAATAGATTGTGGTATCATAATGAAAAAAAATGTATTGTGCATCCTTCATTAATTGAAAGTGTGTAAAGAAGGTATTGAAATAAATCATATGAGTGAAAGATAGAAATGTATTGTGCATCCTTTATTTGAGGCCAATCCTTCAAGGGATCTCATATGCAATTCTTCTTAATTGTTTTTGGTATTGTATTTTGGATTATGAGTAGCTAAACTCCTCTAGGGTATGTTGTATTTGATGGATGTGTTTCAATATTATTGGGATATGTTGAGTTGACTTTGCATGAATACTTTGATCTATAATACTATTCAATTGTTTCTTGTTCGTAATGCTTTTTATGTGAGATACTCTTTTAATATGATTATGAGAACACAAGAAATACTGGCCGTTGATCTATGTGCTGGACCTAGGGAAATTATTGTGCTTATGCTGGTTGAACAGAAATAGGAGACCCCAAGCAGTGGCTAGTGAATTAACACTCTGTTGCCTCACATAATCCTACTTACGCTAGTGTACTAGGAATAGGAAACTTTGAGTAGTGATTAGTGAGCTATATCACAAGGGATTGGCTATAGCGATTTTGTTAATTCGTTGTGGAATTATAGTGATAAGATATTCATGTAAGGCATCAAACATCAACAATAGAGAAATAAGGGATTTTATGCACAACATGTCTGCTTTCGTAATTCTGTCTGAACACTTTCTTTTATTTTCGCATTCAAACTCGAACCCTCCAATTTACTATTTGTTACGCATTGCACAATATTGTCTTGTTAAAAAGCAGTACTTGTGGATTCGATCTTATTTATTACTACGACATTATCGATACACTTGCCGAGAAATCATCAATATCCATGAATTCGTGAGTACCATCGATCATGCATAGAGGAAAAAGATCTTCAGTGAGGACAAAGTCCTATAGTTTATTTTTATATGTGTGATTGCGTCTTGAAGATAACATGGATAAATTTCAGTTGGTCTACAAATTTGCCAACACTCAAGGTATCAAGACTGGTCCTGCTGGCCAAACTCGTATGCCCTCTCTTATAACCAATACTCTTATCCCAGATGTCGATGTTGCTACAACTGTCCCTTGGCTCGACCTTGTTGGAATATTAGATTAGATTAGATTTAATATTTAAATATAATCCAAGTTGTTTTAGCCCAAACCCAATTAAGTTGTATATAAATAGTCGTAGTATGTATCATTATTTGTAACAATTCATTCAATAAATTCTTATTTTCTTATTCTCTCTCTTTCTCTCTTCACTAAAAGTGCCTCACGCACTAATAGACCTCTTTACCAATGATGTGTCAAAAATATGCTACAATCCTCCATTCTAGTAAAGAGGGACCGAGATGAAAACCACCATTCCCCATTGGATTTGTTACAATCTTATACATCGTTGATATTAAATTTTTTTTATTAAATATCTAAAAATTAATATATTTTTATCAAATAATTTAGTAATTAAAATTCAAATTTAGACGCAAATTTAAATATACATCTAATTTCGCGAGTTCAAAGTCGCACCCCTATATCAGATATCTTTGAACAGCTACTAATTAAACTAATTTAATGAGACTAAAATCAATACTTTCTATCATAAATATAAACAAGTTTAATCATCTTTTTGTAATTTTTAATATCATTCTTTTTACAATACTCCTTTCATCAAATTGTTGTTTTCATTTCAATACCATCTCTTCATTAAATATCTTCTTTATTCATTTAACTTTTAGAAAAGATCTTCAAATATTCTTTTTGGATCCTTATAATAAAAGAAAATTCATTTTACATTTATTAAATAAATATTACAATTTAGTTTATATTCAATCCACATATATTAATTATTTAATAAATCTTAAACATAATTGTTATAATAAAAATTCTTATAAAAATATTAGAAGAAGCGGTACAAAAAATTCATACTTAAATCAATGTTTATTTTTATCTTTAATTAACAGCTAAAGCGAAAATAAAAATATAAACTTAGTCACTAAAAGAAAATAAGAACATTGTCAATTTACTCATATATCTAAATTGATTTGTCCGTAAGTCCCATCTTAATTCAAATATTGAAACTTCAGTGTCATTTCGTCTATATACTAAATTATCTATTTTCTATTAAAAAAATTAATTTTTTTTATTTAAAAATATCTTTAAAATATTAAATATAAAAAAAAATCAAAATGTATGTTGTCAAAATCTGGACTAAATTCATTTTTTTTTTTTTACTTTAAATCTTGGAGTATAGTTTAAGAAAGTAAAGTATGGGCGTAATCGTAATTCAAAACAATTATTCTCGCCTATAATTGAAGCGCTGGTAAGAGAGCAAATCAGAACAAAACTCGAAAGTAAAGTAAGAGTTAGGTAACAATCACATTCATGGCTGAGAAAAGCAAGATTTTGATCATCGGAGGAACAGGTTACATCGGAAAACACATAGTAGAAGCAAGTGCAAAAGCTGGTCATCCTACTTTTGCATTGGTCAGAGATTCCACTCTTTCTGATCCAGCCAAGGCTGATCTTCTCAGTAATTTCAAAACATTAGGCGTTCATTTGGTCCCTGTAAGATGTTTCTCCTTTAAGCTATTTTCTTATGTATATTATTATAGATTATGAATTTGGTTTGAAATTGGAATAAATTGCAGGGGGATTTGTACGATCATGAGAAGTTGGTGAAAGCGGTTAAGGAGGTGGATGTGGTGATTTCCACGGTAGGTCAGGTTCAGCTTGCGGATCAGGTGAAAATTATCGCTGCTATTAAGGAGGCTGGTAACATTAAGGTTCTCTCTCCTTTTCTTTTCTTTCTCTACAATTCTGAATATGGAAGACAGCACAAAAGTTGAATAGCCACATAATCATGATGCTAGGGGAGGGAGACCCACCACTATGGACTTTGATGATACATGGCCTAACAAACATTTCTTTAATAATAAAGAATTCACAGAACAATTGAAATTGGGACTCATGTTAACCATGATACACCTAAGTTAAAACTCATAAATTCTTGTTGTGAAACATTCTAACATAAGACATGTGTGTTGTTCACAGAGGTTTTTCCCTTCGGAATTTGGGAACGATGTGGATCGTGTCCATGCGGTAGAGCCAGCAAAATCGGCATTTCAAGCCAAAGTCCAAATTCGACGGACTATTGAAGCGGAAGGAATACCGTATACATATGTCTCTAGCAACTACTTTGCTGGATATTTTCTCCCCACATTAGCTCAGCCTGGACAATTTGCTCCACCTCCACCCAAAGACAAAGTTTTCATATATGGTGATGGAAATCCCAAAGGTAACAAACATTACCTTAACTTAACCCATGATTTTTCTCTTCTGTTTGTAAATCATGTGTATGTTATTTGTTGAATATGTGCAGCGGTGTTTAACAAGGAAGATGACATTGGAACATTCACTATTAGAGCTGTGGACGATCCAAGAACATTGAACAAAATTTTATACATTAAACCACCGAACAACATTTACTCATTCAACGAGCTTGTGGCATTGTGGGAGAACAAGATTGGGAAGAGTCTGGAGAAAATTTATATTCCAGAAGACAAACTTCTGAAGGATATTGAAGAGGCACCTCTTCCTATCAATGTGATACTATCCATTAACCACTCTGTTTTTGTGAAGGGTGATCACACCAACTTTGTGATTGAACCATCTTTTGGAGTTGAGGCTTTTGAATTGTACCCGGATGTTAAGTATACTACTGTTGAAGAATACCTTGATCAGTTTGTTTGAGAGTTGCAATAAACTATGTATTTTAATAATGATATATGACTTGTTTGTTGCTTTGGACATTGGTGTTAGAACTCTTATGCATCTTTGCTTCTTGTTTGTTGCTCCTTGTTGGCTATGTAAACCTTTTAATGCTTAATTGTTATCTCAAATTATATAAAAATAAAATGTTGTGTATTTTGTCAAAGAGGTTGCATTCTTTGTTTTGATTATATTCCGTTTTTTCTTGCTCTATATTTTGTTTTGTTCTTTTTCTTACTTTAAGTGCTATTAGTTTTTCTATTTAAGATTTATTACTCACTACTTCAAGTTATGTTTGTCTTCATTTTGCAAATTTCTAATCAAAATAATTAAGTTTTTCAATTTTTTTTAAATAATCAGGTTTTTCTGCTAATCAGGCCTCACTTCCATTCTACTATTGTTAAATTTGCTACAAATTTCTAAAGAGTTCTTAAATATAATATGTAAGAAAATATAGAACATCCTAGAAACTATAAGGTGTATGAATATGGTAGAATAATCTAGATATATAAGTATATGGCAAAGATAGAAAAATCTAGATTTATCATGATAATAACCTATCATGAGAACTCTAGAATATTCACCACCATTGAAAGATTGGTGACTTGAGCCTATAAATAGGCATTTGCTACATTATAAACCATCATCCAAGAAATTAATCACAAAACCTTCTTTCTAAACTACTCTCTAACACTATCTTCTACCAACTATCATCTAAACAATTCAAAACAGTGGCATCAGAGCTACGTTCGGTCATACATTGGGCGTAGTTATACTAATACCTACCATTTCATAATCCTCCAAACTACTTCAAAATATTTCCCTTATACTATTAACCCACTACAATATTTTTTCTAAGCCATGGATAACACTACTCAATCATCAACTATTTGTGTCCCTATTTTCAATGGTGAAAATTATGATTTCTGGCGTGTTAAAATGGAAACATATTTTTCATCTCAAGATTTATGGGACATAGTAGAAGAAGGCTTCATCGCTCCCATAGATACTTCAGCTCTAAATGCAGCTCAAGAAAAAGAGTTGAAGAAAAATAAACAGAAAAATTCAAAGGCATTGTTCACCTTGCAACAAGTGGTGACTGATGCAATTTTTCCAAGAATTATGGGAGTTAAGACTGCAAAAGAAGCGTGGAAGACGTTGCAGGAGGAGTTTCAAGGAAATGACAAGGTACGTGCTGTCAAACTTCAATCTCTAAGAAGAGATTTTGAACTATTGAAGATGAAGGAGTCTGAGACAGTTAAAGATTACTATTGAAGTTGAAGATGAAGTCTATGTTAGAGGAAATGGTGTCATCTTCACTCCCACTACCATCAATAACTTCCTTGGAAGATCAAATGAAGCCCAACCTGATTTAACCATCTCTGACAACAAAATGTGCCAAGTAATTACTGGAAATCAAGTCAGAAAGTGGTCATCAAAAGGGAAGCTTGCTGCCAGCAAACTAAGTGTGAAATATGATGTGCTACACAAGATTGGTGCTGCAAACTGGGTGCCCACTAATCACAAATCATCAGTGGCCACTATCCTGGGGAGAGTTATCTATGCTGTTGGGACCAAGACCAAAATGGATTATGGCACCTACATCTTTGATCAGACCATGAAGCATGCTGGTAGCTATAGCGTAAAAGGACCCATAGCATTTCCTTCGCTCATTTGTGGTATTATATTAGCACAATTCCCAAATATCCTCAAGAACAGTGATGTAGCAAGTAAAAGAGACACTCCCTTAGCCTTTCATCACAAGTTGTTTCAAGGAACTCATGTTCCAGGTATTGTCATGACACCCAATGAGACATCCAAAGGAAGTCCAAAAACAAGAAAAGCTGAAGTAATGGCAATAATCAAAGAGACATGCAAGGAATTGGATACGAGGAAACAGACACTTGAGAAACTACTGAAATCTCTTGAGCAAGAGGAGGATGTTGAACTCACTGATGAAGCCAATGATGAGGGTACAAGGGATGTGGATGGTCAGAAAGCTGCCTCTGAAAAAGTTGCTGCCAGTACAGAAGAAGGCACTAATGAAGAAAGCAATGAAGAATCTGAGGAGGACAGATCCAACTCAGTTGAAGAAGAAGATTGATGTCTTGGCCTACTGTGTAGCTCAGACTACTGAGTGCTGAGTTATTGCAGGAAGAGGTGCTGCTGCTAGTTTGTTTTGATTAGGCTTCTGTAGGAATTGTTTGACAACCTGAATTTGTGATGCTCAGTACGAGCAGTTTGTATAATTTGCCCCTAATAATTGTAATGTTACAATTTTTGATCTATGCTAAGTTCTTAGTTGGATCTTAATTTGTGGCTAAAAAGGGGGAGAAAGTGTTAGATCATGACAGCAGGTGAAAGAATAGGTTAAAGACTTGCTAGCATATGTGCTATTGTGTGCACATGGTATAATTATGATTGCATGTGTGACCACAGGGGCTGCTGAGGATATGTGTGAATTCCTATGGTGTATAGGAATGTATGTTAGAACTGAATGGTTGATTGTGTTTGTTGCTAACCCTGTGTGATCCTAGAAGGTGTTTAGGAGTGACGTGTGTGTCTGCAGGATAGTAGCAGAGTGTGTTGTGCATCTCTTCAGAGGGAGTAGCTCAGGAGGTTGTAACTTCAGGATGTTATCCTGAAGGTCATGACATCCAGAACAGGCTGGATGTTTATGTGTGACTGCAGATTGTGCAGGTTAAGTGCTCAGCTGGTAAGGTGTATCAGTTGAGGGGGAGTAACCTAGTGTATTACTCAGAAAAGTGTGACATCTGTAGTGGTAACTAACAGATGGTTAACAAGGTGAGTTATAACCTCCTGAGCTAACTGTGAGGACTCTGAGAGTGTGTTGAGCTAGTAACTTTCCTGCAAGACAGGGCATATGATAAGTCTTCTGCTGTGTGTAAATCTCTTGTATAATAACAGGGCGTTTTAGCCAAAAATTTGCCAAAGGGGGAGTTTGTAAGTGCTCTTGACTGGCTTCATTTTGTGGCAAAATATTAGAGTTTGCATGTATGTCATACTGAATGTTAAGACATACATAATGATGTGTGTGCAAGGTAAGTTAACTATAAGTTAAGCTGGATGTCATACAGAATGTCATGACTTGGATCGTATAACATCAAGCAAGCAGGTTAGTTTTTCTGGTATCTAGAAATCAGGAAACAAATCAGAAGCTCAAGCTGAAAGACAGGAGACATTTTAGAAGCCCTAAAGCGAAACAAATGCTCCTGAATTAATTGGCAAGCGTGCAGATTATTGAAGAGAGGTTTGTTATGGATAAACCTAATTTATGCACCCAGGCCCAAAGACTGACTGCTGCTATAAATAATAGAAGGAGCAATCCTAGAGGAGCAACTCTTAACAAAAGATTAGAGAGTGCATATTAAGAGCCCTTGTAAGTGAAGAAGGTTGTTCTTCACATGAGTATTGTGAGTGAAGAAAGTGTGTTCTTCACGTGTGAATTGAGTCTTAGGAATACTTGTTTACCAAGCAACTGTATGCTGCATTGGTTAGGTAGGTTCTAAGTTGTGTCTCACTCAAAGCTGTTAAGCAAGAGTGTGTGATTCTTGATCAAAGCTTTGAAGCAAGATCAAGGTGTGTATGAAGTGATTCTTCATTTTTATTATGTAATTGTATTAATATCACTGTGGTGTGATTGAGGGGGAGTGAGTGGGAATACTCAGGTCTAGAGTGTCTCTAGGTTGAAGTGTCATTGGGTAGGTTTTAAGTGAGGAGTGAAAACTGGGTTGTTTGGCTCTGAATTAATTCTACTGATAGTGAATTTCCTCCCTGGCTTGGTAGCCCCTAGATGTAAGTGTTGTTGACACTTGTAATACCCCAAATTTTGCCCTAAGATTTGTCGTCGCATTTCATTGCATTTTTATTGCATTTAATCAATTACTAACAAGTTTGTGTAGTCGTTTGACTTTTTGCAGGTAAATATCATATGGCATGCATTTTTTTTCTAAAAAGTAAAAATGGCACAATTGGCAAGAGGACATGTGTAAGGAGTTGTGAGTGTGAGAGGTTGAGAGTTCGAATCTCACCTTTGTCACTTTTTTTGTTTTTTATTATTTTTACTCTAAATTTTTCTATCTTTCATTAAAAAATAACAAAAATAGTTTTTTATTATTATTTAATTATTATTTTCGTATTTTAATTAAATCATTTTTTAAAATATTATTTTTTTTCACTTTTTTCTAAATTATTCATAAAAATATCCAAAAAATCATAAAATAAAAAATATTGGAAAAAATTTTGTTCTTTTTATAATATTTTTGATTTTAGGAATCAATAAGATTATTAGTTTTTATTTTAAGTTTATTTTAATTATTTTAAATTATTTAAATTACATTTTTTCTTAACTAATTATTTAGTTTGTGCTTTAAAATGGGCTTTAGGGACATTATTGACAATTTGGTGTTAACCCTAATTTGTTCCCTATATATAATGTGTTGCCTTGTTGAAAAAAAGGGGCGGAAGGTTCAGACAGAGAGAAGAAGACACCAGAGAAGGAAAAAGGCTGCTGTTCTTACAACGCACAACCCTCACTCCAGTGTTCTCTTATTCAAACCAAACCAACATTCACCGAAGCAAGCCTCCGCTTCGAAGTTTTATCCTTCCGAAGGATTAGGTCCAGCCTTTTGGCCGCCGAGTCAATAGCCTTACCCCTTTAATGGATCAAACCCTGTTTAGCCTAGGTGTCCCGCTGTGGGCAAAATTGCTTTTATCCTAGTGTTAGGTAGAGCTGGCAAAATGGGCCGGGCCTACCGGGCCGGGCCGAAAAGCCCGAAAAAATAAAGGGCTTGGACAAGAAAATTAGGGCCCGTTTATCATCCGGGCTATTTTAGCCCGGCCCGTTGAAGCCCGAACTCTAACCGGGCTAGCCCGATCGGGTTGCGGGTAGCCCGTTTATTTTATAAAAATTAAAAATAAAAAATAAATATTAAAAATAAATACAACTTGTGTGATACAAT